GGAAAAGGATGATTGCGGGCCTCAAGCCTGGAAAGTGCTCAAGGAGCTACACGCACCAACCTCTGTGGTGGCAACGCTCATGCTGGAGCGTGAATTGGCGTCATTGCGGTTAAGTGAAGGGGAGCCGATTCAACCCATCCTTGACAAAACGCGAGAGCTGTACGCTAAGCTGTAGATTGGAGGCATCACCTATCCAGAGCAAACGAAATGCTTGAAGATGTTGTCATTGCTGCCGGATTCATGGATGGTCTTCACTAGCGGGTTGAGTCTTCCTCAAAACCAGAATCTTTGGACCCTTGAGTGGGTTCGAACTAAGATCCTTGAGGAGGAGGTAGCAGAGTCATGATCAAGATGGAGATGGCGGCTATGGAGTCCAAAGTGTCCGTTGGCGTAAGGGAGATGGTCGCGGTCAAGGGGAACGTGGACAAGGCGAGAGTGGACGATACAAAGCCAGGCGTGATGAGGAGAAGAAACCGAGGAGCAAGAGTGATGACGATGAAGAAGATGATCGTGGCGGCTACCGCGGGTTCAAGGGCACTTGTTGGTACTGCAAGAAGCCGGGTCACACTTGGGCGAAGTGCTGGAAGCGGCCCAAGTGGTGGACTCCCGGATGTGAGGATGATGATGGAGAGGAGAACGGTGTTGGTTATGTAGAAGAAGCTGCAACAAAAGGGTGTGACACTTGGGAGCGTGCTCCAGGGCAGTTTTTCCACGTGCAAGGGAATGGGGGAAGCAAGAAAGCATCTGCCAAGAAGAGAGCAGATTCTTTTCCTCTCAACACTTGGATACTAGACTCCGGAGCAGCATACCACATGACCCCAAGGGCGGACCTGCTGGATGAGATCGGGAAAACAAGTATGACTGAAATGCTTTCAGGATGTGGACACAAGATGAATGTGATGGGGGTCGGCAAGGCAGCGTTTAAAGGAGCTGATGGGAAGCCGATCTTCCTAGAACAAGTGCTCTTGGTGCCTGAGCTGAAAGGGAATCTCATTTCCCTGAGGCAGTTGGGAATTGCAGGTGTTTGCACGGCAACAAATGGAGCCGAGACATTCACGGGGAAGCTCGGTGACCGTGTGTTGTGGGATGTGCATGAAGACAAAGACATGCTTGATGATCTGTGGCATGTACCCGTGGTGCCATGGAAGGAGGTGGTACCTGAGAAGCAGAATGAAGTGTGTAGCTGCAAGGGAGAGTGTGCTACTGTGGCTGCTGAAACTATTAAGGAGCTGAAAACTGCAGTGGAGATGCTGGTGCAGCAGTTGAAGCAGGTCAATGCTCGACTTGCAGCAGCTGAAAAGAAAGATGTGCTCGTTGCTGATGAGAAAAACGGTGTAGATGGCAAGGGGAGCATGGTTGAGGCTGTCGCTGCAGATAAGGAGAAGGATGTTCCCAAGAGTGATACTCGTGAGCAGCAGAAACACAAGGGCATGGTGCAGCTCAAGGGTGCCGCTAAGAAGGAGAAATCTTTGGTGCAAAATGTGGGAGGTTATGAATCTGATGGGGCAAAGGTGTTTTGTGAATCCAAGGTGAAGCCAAGCTTGAAGGAAGCTGAGATTGCGGGGGAGCAGATGAGTGCATTCCCTAAAACCGGAGTTGGGATCAGCTATGCGGCGGCGCTGGTGAGAGGCGAACGCAAAGTGTTAGTTCCAAAGAGAAAGCAGTTTGGCGAGGATGTGAATACTCCCATGCCAATGACGGGAGCAGTAAAGGGAGCTGTCAAGTCCAATGATGCCGTGGGAGGATTCGAATAGTCGCCAGGTTGAGGGGGAGTTTGTTGGGTGCAAATACTTAATTTGCACGTCAACCTACCGCCTATTTGACGACGGTATAAGAAAATGGGGAGTTTTGTTTTGAAGGTAATTTGTGGTGTGAGAAATGTCTTTTCATTTTGCATTTTGTGTATGCGCATTTTGTGTGTGTTCTGTGCGCATTCGTCTTTGCATTTTGTGTGTTCCGTTTTCATTCGTAATTGCATTTTGTGTTTCTGCATTTTCAGTTCTGTTTTCACTGTTCTCATGAAGCTCTCATGAAGCGCTCAAATGAGGCTCACATGATGCGCTCAAATGAGACTCTCACGAAGTCTCAAATGAGGCCCTCATGAAACTCAAATGAGTTCCCATGAAAGTCAAATGAGAAATATTTCATGCGAGGCTCATATGGGCGAGCTTCGAATGATTTATGCGAAGCTCATTGGAGTGCCATAAGCCTCGAATGTTTCATTGGAGGCTTATGTGAGTGAGTGGTGTGCTGGGGGGCTCGAAAGTTTGACTGGTCAAGGGGGGGTGCTGTTTGACCGTTTCACGAGAGTCAAAGGGTGCGAAAATCAGGACCGCATGTGGGGTCCTGATTCGCGTGTGGCCCCTCAGGGCTCGGGCGTGTGCCACGTCTAGTTGCACGTGCACTGTACTGCACGATCGCAACATGACAGGGCCCGTTTCGGCCCTGTCCCGCACTTTACACGCGCATGATTTCAATCATGACGCGCTGTACAGCACGACCGAGAAAAATCTCGGTCGTGCGTGTGGCACGAGGGGTGCTCGGAATTTACAGTTGAAAAACTGTTTTCCGAGTTAACTCACGGGACGGGAAATTTCTCGCGAAAGTCATTTCGCTTAACAGAATCATTTCGACACAGGTGCAAATCGGTTACTCCGTTTTTCAAACGGTAAAAACCGTTATATAACTGTGAGCTCGCATGAAGACATTGGAGCTACATTGAAGCCACATGCTAGCCTCATGAGTGTACACATTTGAGGCAGCAGGGGCAACTGTTACAAGTGCAATTTGAAAATAGATTTTAACAACAGGAGGATATAGCCAAATGTTCAAGGAGTTGAACAACCGTTTTCAAGTACAGCTTGGCGAAATCCTGCGCGCTAGTTAAACAACTGTTATGTGCTTGCTCCTGCATGTGCGTAGAATTTATATAAATTTGTCAGAATCCCAACCACTAGACCATTGGGATAAAAGGGCTTGTTAAGTAGCGGGTCAGTGCGCCCATAACCCCCCAGGCCAACGTGCCTGTAACCCTTCCCTAGGATCAATCGGGGATCACCAGTGGACCTCTGACAAAATTTGTATGTTTGTACCTGTCGAGATCAATTCAATGCATTCGCGTTTTTGCAAGCTTGAATTCTACTACTTCGTATTGACGAGAGTAGAAACGACCACGGTGCTACCGAAACTTTGTTCGACCGGTTCACTCATTCTACAAGCATAAACAAGGCATAACTACTCACTTGCGTTTTTCCTACGCCCTTGGCTGGGAGGTGACAAGGTGTCACACTCGAATGGCTGCAAGTGATGTTAAGTGTTGCTAAGTTTTTGTTTGTAGTTCAAGCTTAATCGCTTCCGCAGAACGCTATAGCTGTCAACATGAAAAACACTGATTTTTCGGGGTATGAAAAAAAAAACACTGAACACTCAGAGTGCCAGAAATTTCAAACACTGATCAACTATATCAATAAAAAGAACCCATGCATGGGCTCCCTTAGCGCACCGCAACCAGCACGACGTTGCCACACATTGGACAGCCAATCAGATTGCGCCTTTGACAAGGTAACACCCAAATTCGGCCAGTGCAGGGTGATGTCGGTGCACAATGGGTACCTGAATGCAGACGACGCGCCAAACTTGGCGAAATGCAGTTTCCAGTTTTAGGGTCGAACGCGATACAACACTGACTCATCAGTGTCCGAAATCGCAAAACACTGAAAAAACAGTGGCTGACTTCAGAGGCCATGGGCACCGCACCTCGCTCAATGAATTTGGGCTGTTATTGATCAGAAAGAGGTTAACACTTGCTAAACCCTCTACCTGTCTGGTTTGGGTTTGACGAGGATCCCTAGACAAAGCATTGGGGGGCGATCTGGTGTGTCTTGCTAACGTTTTGAAAAGGTTTGAATTCAACTAGGATGTGCTATAGCATGCTATATGGATGCCCACACGATCACAACACAAACACTTATACGTGATCCGCACACATATAATGGCTTGCCAGCACCAAAGCAGGGTGGCTACAGTGGCAGAGGCAGAAGAGACAGGAAGACAAAGAGCCGTCTTGACACATCCTGGAGGCGGCAAAGTGGTGGAGAGAGCAAGACGCAGCGCAGTGGTGGGAAAGCGGAGGAAGCAGAGGGACAGAGGAGCGTGGTCGGGCCAAGTTGGTTCACTTCCTGGTGGAGGCAGAGTGGCTTTTGGGGCGCCTCAAAAGGCGGAGGTGGAGGTGGGGTGTGGTGTGTGGTGTGGAATGGGGTCACTTCCGGGTGGAAGCGGAGTGGCGGCGGAGAGCAGCGTAGAAAGCAAGGCGCAGCGCAGCAATGAATGCTGCAATCACCACCACGTTGCGCCACGGGCTCAAACCTGTGAACCCCCGCGCGTCCAGATACGCTGCACCCGTGAGCCCACAGGCCTCGTTGGTGCCGGAGGCGGTGTAGCCGACGCCAGCGGCGGGGGAGAAGGTGGAGAAGCAGGTGGGGCCGAGGCCGTGGTGGAACTCGGCCCAGAGCAGCAGCTCCATGGGGTAGCGCATGAGACTCAGGTAGTACAGCCACAGCCAGTATGGCGGGATGGCCGACCTGGGGGGAGGGGTGGGGCGATAGGGAGGGAGGGGCAAATGAAGACGAGCAAGAGAGAAGTAGCTGTTACACATAGGCAGTGAGCAGGCAGCAGTGAGAGGGCGGCAGTGAGAGGGCGGCAGTGAGACGGCGGCAGTGAGAGGGCGGCAGTGAGAGGGCGGCAGTGAGAGGGCGGCAGTGAGAGGGCGGCAGTGAGAGGGCGGCAGTGAGAGGGCGGCAAGGAGAAGGATGGGCAGGAGAGAGGCGAAGAAGGCAGTGAAGAGGAGGAAGACGGAGAAGGTGCTGATGGCGACGGTGACAAAAGGGAAGTGGATGCAGCAAATAAGCAGGGAGAGGGCAGGCGTGGGTAGCAGTGAGATGGCAAGAGTGAGGGCAAGGGAGTGGCAGTGAGGAGCGAGGTGGCGAGGGGAGGGGGCTGACTTGGAGAAGAAGAAGCCGCTGAAGAGGAGGAAGAAGGAGAAGGCGCTGCTGGCGACCGTGGCCGCCACCATGTGCGACGGCAGCAGCGCCGACAGCAGCGTCACAAACGCGTTGGCGAGCGCAAAGGCCAGGCAGAGCGTGGCGATGAAGACGGTGAAGGCGGAGGCGGAGGGCGCGAGGCCCACCATCCAGTAGAGTGGCGCGGCGAGGGCGAGGGAGAGGAGGAGGAAGAGCGGCAGCGTGGTGAGCGTGGTGGCCGCCACGTAGGGCGCCGTGCGGTACGCGCCTCGTGACGTCTCTCGCGTGAAGATGGTTCGCTCCTGGTGGGGGGGATGGGGAGGGGAGGGGGAGGGGGGTGGGGAGATGGGATGATGGTACAAAGAAGGTGGGAGGGAAGTGGCTGATACAGGTGCGGCGCGTGCAAAGACACCAACGGGGCTGTGCTTCATGTGCTTTGGGGGTCTCACGCGTGAAGGTGGTGCTTTCTTGGTGTGGGGAGCAGGAGGGGAGGGGGAGATGGGTGGGAAAATGGGATAGCTTGTACTCCATAGGAGTGGGATACAGTTGCGTGGACAGGCAGACCAGGGGCAGGGCGTCTCACGAGGTAGAAGAGCGGGAGGGCGTCTCACGAGGTAGAAGAGCGGGAGGGCGTCTCACGAGGTAGAAGAGCGGGAGGGCGTCTCACGAGGTAGAAGAGCGGGAGGGCGTCTCACGAGGTAGAAGAGCGGGAGGGCGTCTCACGAGGTAGAAGGGCGGGAGGGCGTCTCACGAGGTAGAAGAGCGGGAGGGCGTCTCACAAGGTAGAAGAGCGGGAGGGCGTCTCACGAGGTAGAAGAGCGGGAGGGCGTCTCACGAGGTAGAAGAGCGGGAGGGCGTCTCACGAGGTAGAAGAGCGGGAGGGCGTCTCACGAGGTAGAAGAGCGGCAGGGCGTCTCACGAGGTAGAAGAGCGGGAGGGCGTCTCACGAGGTAGAAGAGCGGGAGGGCGTCTCACGAGGTAGAAGAGCGGGAGGGCGTCTCACGAGGTAGAAGAGCGGGAGGGCGTCTCACGAGGTAGAAGAGCGGGAGGGCGTCTCACGAGGTAGAAGAGCGGCAGGGCGTCTCACGAGGTAGAAGAGCGGCAGGGCGTCTCACGAGGTAGAAGAGCGGGAGGGCGTCTCACGAGGTAGAAGAGCGGGAGGGCGTCTCACGAGGTAGAAGAGCGGCAGGGCGTCTCACGAGGTAGAAGAGCGGGAGGGCGTCGAGGGAGTTGTAGAAGACGAGGGCGATGGTGAAGCCGAGCACAGCAAAGTGGCTCTGCAGCCCCGCCATGTCCCTCCCCACGCTGCGGAACAGCGACCCCATGATCACCCCCATCGCCACCTGCCATGCGCATGCATGCACGTTCAGGCAGTGGGCATGAGAGGGCGGGACGAAGGTGGTGAGAGCAAGAAAGATGGTGGGCGGGAGAGACGTGCGATGGGAGCGAGGGTGGGGAATGGTGGAGAAGCAGTGAGGGGAGAGCCAACACGTGGTCAATCCGTCATGAGTGCGAGTCGGGCACAGACAGGTGGGCGGTGCCAGGCAGGAGCTGCCTGCCGTGCTGGCAGTGGGGCGGTGAGCAAGGAGGGCTGGGAAGGAGAGGAGGGCAAGTGCACGCACAAGAAGGCAGCGCCAAATGGGAAGGGCGAGAAGGGTGGGAAGGGCGAAAAGGGTGGGAAGGGTGGGAAGGGTGGGAAGGGTGGGAAGGGTGGGAAGGGTGGGAAGGGTGGGCAGGGTGGGAAGGGTGGGCAGGGTGGGCAGGGTGGGCAGGGTGGGCAGGGTGGGCAGGGTGGGCAGGGTGGGAAGGGTGGGAAGGGTGGGCAGGGTGGGAAGGGTGGGCAGGGTGGGCAGGGTGGGAAGGGTGGGCAGGGTGGGCAGGGATCTCACTGATTAGCACAAGACGGCTGCGTGAAATGGGAAGGACAGGAAGGGAAGCAACAGACCATGACAAGGAGGCGCGAGAGCAGGAGGTCGAGGCTGCGCAGCAGCACGAGGCAGCAGCGGTGTGTCAGTGTCACCGTCTCACTCACGGCGCTCGTCGCATACTCCCACTCGCCCACCGCCCTCCCCTCCCCCACCCTCCCCTCCCCCGCCCTCCCCCCTCTATAGCCCTCTGCCCCACTGCTGCCTGCCTCACTGCTCCCACTGCCCTGCCCCTCGCCCGCAACCCCCAAGCACTGCTTTCCCCCAGCTACGAGCTTCCCAAGCTGGTGCTTCAGGTTAGCCCCTAGGGAGGGCGCGGTAGGGGGAGCGTCTGTGAGGGCCTCTGACTGCTCAAGTGGGGGAAAGGCGAAGGGAGACGGTGCAGAGAAACGGAAGGGCGTGAGATGATGTGCAGGTGGGAAGGGCCAAGGAAGGAGGGTAGGAACGATGATGGGCCTCAATGCAGGTGCGTTCGGGCGTGAATGTGGGGCTGTGTGTGTGATATTGTGTGTGTGCGTGTGTGTGTGCGTGTGCGTATGTGAGTGAGTGAGTGTGTGTGTGTGTGTGTGTGTATGTTGTCTGTGCATGTGTATGTGCATGCGTGCGTGTGTGTGCATGCTCCAAGAACCCAGTATGAGCGAGGTCAAAATACTGCATGAATGTGCACGAAATTGCCACGAGCAGCAGCGGTGCTCACCTTGCCATGAGCAGCAGCAGCAGCAGCAGCAGCAGCAGCAGCAGTGATGCGAGGCAGAGGGTCGAGGGCGAACTCGAGGAGGTTCACCTGGTGGCGGGCAACAAGGGGTGCAGCACCAGTGTTACTGCACGGCTGCGCACCGTCTTGCGCACTGGGACTCCCACCGCTGTGCACTCTCTTGCAAGAGGGCGGGAAACTGCCGTGCGTAGCCAGCAGGCACCCTTGAGGCAGTGGGTTCACATCCAAGGGGAATGGGGTGGAGTGCAGTCACATGCGGCACGGCTCACAGGCACCCCTCGTGACTCACACGCGGGGGCACCCCTCGTGACTCACATGCTGGGCACGGGGTGTGAGACTCACACGAGGTGGTGCGGAGCTGCAAGGTGGCAGCACAGGGTGGGAGTGGCGCCGTGGAAGGCGAGGGAGCCGCTGATGAGCAGCGCCAGGCGGTGCAGCAGACCTTTGAGGCGCCAAGCGGTGCAGCAGACCTTTGAGGCGGCTCAAACGGACTCACATGCGGGGGCACGGGGTGGTGCAGTGCGGCGAGGTGGGCGCGCAGGGCGGGCGTGGCGCCATGGAAGGCGACCTGGCCGCCCACGAGGAGAGCCATGCGGTGCAGCAGCGCCGTGATGCGGAACGACGGCTGGTGGATGGTCAGCACCACTGTGCGCCCGCCCTGTGCGCGGTAGGGGGGAGTGGGGTGGAGAAGGAGGAGGGGAAGGTAGGGCGGGCCTGGAATCGTTGATGGTGAGCAGCACTGTGTGGCGCGCTGCAGCAGCGATGCTCTGCGGAAGGACGGCTGGTGATGGTCAGAACCACCGTTCGCCCACCCTGCGAGGGGGAAGGGGGAAGAGGGATTGAGAGGCTTCGGGGGGCGGGGGTTGGTGGATGCTGTGAGGAAGCACTGTGTGCCACGCTGCAGCAGCAACGAGCAGCGCCACGCGCGCCTTCTGGCCGTGGGCGCTGTGAGTGCGAGGAGGGATGGCGTGGCAAGAAAGGAAGAACGAGCAACGGTGTGAGTGGCGACGATGTGGCTACAAGAGGAGAGAGCGATGGGGGAAATACCAGAGTGTGTGTTCGAGAGGTGAGGGTTTGGGTCCATATAAAACCAATTAAGCAAGTTTTCCCTCGCACCCATATCATGGGTGCAGCATGCCATCGAGCTAGAAATTTCCGGGCTTCTTCGTGCCCCGCATGCTGCTTCTTCGTGCCCCGCATGCTGCTTTCCTCCTCCCCACCCCACCAGCCATCTGCTGCAGCAACTTTGTAACAAAAAACAACCACCCGAGGAAACACCTGAGAAAGCACATGAAGCACACCTGAGCACCGTGTGTGGCACACCTGAGAAAGCACATGAAGCACACCTGAGCACCTGGTGTGGCACACCTGAGAAAGCACATGAAGCACACCTGAGCAGCTGGTGTGGCACACCTGAGAAAGCACATGAAGCACACCTGAGCAGCTGGTGTGGCACACCTGAGAAAGCACATGAAGCACACCTGAGCACCTGGTGTGGCACACCTGAACGGCCATGTTGTGCAGCAGCTGCACCACCTTGAGCGCCGACGAGCTGTCCAACCCTGCCAGCGCGGTCAGGTGCAGTGAGGGGTGGTGAGGGGCGGTGAGGGGCGAGGCACAGGGCAAAAGGAGCAAGGAGCGAGCAGGTATGGGTGGCGGAATGGGTGGTGGTGGCAGCAAGGACACGGTAGAGGCAGGAGGACTGATCACACAGAGCAAGGGGCGGAGAGGGCAAGGACGAGGGAAGGGAGTGGAGCTGGGGTGGGAGTGGACCTGAGGTGGGAGTGGACCTGAGGTGGGAGTGGACCTGAGGTGGGAGTGGACCTGAGGTGGGAGTGCACCTGAGGTGGGAGTGGACCTGAGGTGGGAGTGGACCTGAGGTGGGAGTGGACCTGAGGTGGGAGTGGACCTGAGGTGGGAGTGGACCTGACGTGGGAGTGGACCTGAGGTGGGAGTGGACCTGAGGTGGGAGTGGACCTGAGGTGGGAGTGCACCTGAGGTGGGAGTGCACCTGACGTGGGAGTGGACCTGACGTGGGAGTGGACCTGACGTGGGAGTGGACCTGAGGTGGGAGTGGACCTGAGGTGGGAGTGGACCTGAGGTGGGAGTGGAGCTGACGTGGGAGTGGAGCTGAGGTGGGAGTGGACCTGAGGTGGGAGTGCACCTGAGGTGGGAGTGGACCTGACGTGGGAGTGGACCTGACGTGGGAGTGGACCTGACGTGGGAGTGGACCTGAGGTGGGAGTGGACCTGACGTGGGAGTGGACCTGACGTGGGAGTGGACCTGAGGTGGGAGTGGACCTGACGTGGGAGTGGACCTGAGGTGGGAGTGGACCTGAGGTGGGAGTGGACCTGAGGTGGGAGTGGACCTGAGGTGGGAGTGGACCTGAGGGGGGAGTGGACCTGAGGCGGGAGTGGACCTGAGGCGGGAGTGGACCTGAGGCGGGAGTGGACCTGAGGTGGGAGTGGACCTGAGGTGGGAGTGGACCTGAGGTGGGGAGTGGACCTGAGGGGGGAGTGGACCTGAGGCGGGAGTGGACCTGAGGCGGGAGTGGACCTGAGGCGGGAGTGGACCTGAGGTGGGAGTGGACCTGAGGTGGGAGTGGACCTGAGGTGGGAGTGGACCTGAGGTGGGAGTGGACCTGAGGTGGGAGTGGACCTGAGGTGGGAGTGGACCTGAGGTGGGAGTGGACCTGAGGTGGGAGTGGACCTGAGGTGGGAGTGGACCTGAGGTGGGAGTGGACCTGAGGCGGGAGTGGACCTGAAGTGGGAGTGGACCTGACGTGGGAGTGGACCTGAGGTGGGAGTGGACCTGAGGCGGGAGTGGACCTGACGTGGGAGTGGACCTGACGTGGGAGTGGACCTGAGGTGGGAGTGGACCTGACGTGGGAGTGGACCTGAGGCGGGAGTGGACCTGAGGTGGGAGTGGACCTGAGGTGGGAGTGGACCTGAGGTGGGAGTGGACCTGACGGGGGAGTGGACCTGAGGTGGGAGTGGACCTGACGGGGGAGTGGACCTGAGGTGGGAGTGGACCTGAGGCGGGAGTGGACCTGAGGTGGGAGTGGACCTGACGTGGGAGTGGACCTGAGGTGGGAGTGGACCTGACGGGGGAGTGGACCTGAGGTGGGAGTGGACCTGACGGGGGAGTGGACCTGAGGTGGGAGTGGACCTGAGGTGGGAGTGGACCTGACGTGGGAGTGGACCTGAGGTGGGAGTGGACCTGACGTGGGAGTGGACCTGACGGGAGTGGACCTGAGGTGGGAGTGGACCTGACGTGGGAGTGGACCTGAGGTGGGAGTGGACCTGACGTGGGAGTGGACCTGACGTGGGAGTGGACCTGACGTGGGAGTGGACCTGAGGTGGGAGTGGAGCTGAGGTGGGAGTGGACCTGAGGTGGGAGTGGACCTGAGGTGGGAGTGGAGCTGAGGTGGGAGTGGACCTGAGGTGGGAGTGGACCTGAGGTGGGAGTGGACCTGACGTGGGAGTGGACCTGACGTGGGAGTGGACCTGAGGTGGGAGTGGACCTGACGTGGGAGTGGACCTGACGTGGGAGTGGACCTGAGGTGGGAGTGGACCTGAGGTGGGAGTGGACCTGACGTGGGAGTGGACCTGAGGTGGGAGTGGACCTGAGGTGGGAGTGGACCTGACGTGGGAGTGGACCTGAGGTGGGAGTGGACCTGTGGTGGGAGTGGACCTGACGTGGGAGTGCACCTGAGGTGGGAGTGGACCTGAGGTGGGAGTGGACCTGAGGTGGGAGTGCACCTGAGGTGGGAGTGGACCTGAGGTGGGAGTGGACCTGAGGTGGGAGTGGACCTGAGGTGGGAGTGGACCTGAGGTGGGAGTGGACCTGAGGTGGGAGTGCACCTGAGGTGGGAGTGGACCTGAGGTGGGAGTGGACCTGAGGTGGGAGTGGACCTGAGGTGGGAGTGGACCTGAGGTGGGAGTGGACCTGACGTGGGAGTGGACCTGAGGTGGGAGTGGACCTGAGGTGGGAGTGGACCTGAGGTGGGAGTGCACCTGAGGTGGGAGTGCACCTGACGTGGGAGTGGACCTGACGTGGGAGTGGACCTGACGTGGGAGTGGACCTGAGGTGGGAGTGGACCTGAGGTGGGAGTGGACCTGAGGTGGGAGTGGAGCTGACGTGGGAGTGGAGCTGAGGTGGGAGTGGACCTGAGGTGGGAGTGCACCTGAGGTGGGAGTGGACCTGACGTGGGAGTGGACCTGACGTGGGAGTGGACCTGACGTGGGAGTGGACCTGAGGTGGGAGTGGACCTGACGTGGGAGTGGACCTGACGTGGGAGTGGACCTGAGGTGGGAGTGGACCTGAGGTGGGAGTGGACCTGAGGTGGGAGTGGACCTGAGGTGGGAGTGGACCTGAGGTGGGAGTGGACCTGAGGTGGGAGTGGACCTGAGGGGGGAGTGGACCTGAGGCGGGAGTGGACCTGAGGCGGGAGTGGACCTGAGGCGGGAGTGGACCTGAGGTGGGAGTGGACCTGAGGTGGGAGTGGACCTGAGGCGGGAGTGGACCTGAGGTGGGAGTGGACCTGAGGTGGGAGTGGACCTGAGGTGGGAGTGGACCTGAGGTGGGAGTGGACCTGAGGTGGGAGTGGACCTGAGGTGGGAGTGGACCTGAGGTGGGAGTGGACCTGAGGTGGGAGTGGACCTGAGGTGGGAGTGGACCTGAGGCGGGAGTGGACCTGAGGTGGGAGTGGACCTGAGGTGGGAGTGGACCTGAGGCGGGAGTGGACCTGACGTGGGAGTGGACCTGAGGTGGGAGTGGACCTGAGGCGGGAGTGGACCTGACGTGGGAGTGGACCTGAGGTGGGAGTGGACCTGAGGTGGGAGTGGACCTGACGTGGGAGTGGACCTGAGGCGGGAGTGGACCTGAGGTGGGAGTGGACCTGACGTGGGAGTGGACCTGAGGTGGGAGTGGACCTGACGGGGGAGTGGACCTGAGGTGGGAGTGGACCTGACGGGGGAGTGGACCTGAGGTGGGAGTGGACCTGAGGTGGGAGTGGACCTGACGTGGGAGTGGACCTGAGGTGGGAGTGGACCTGACGTGGGAGTGGACCTGACGGGAGTGGACCTGAGGTGGGAGTGGACCTGACGTGGGAGTGGACCTGAGGTGGGAGTGGACCTGACGTGGGAGTCGACCTGACGTGGGAGTGGACCTGAGGTGGGAGTGGACCTGAGGTGGGAGTGGAGCTGAGGTGGGAGTGGACCTGAGGTGGGAGTGGACCTGAGGTGGGAGTGGAGCTGAGGTGGGAGTGGACCTGAGGTGGGAGTGGACCTGAGGTGGGAGTGGACCTGACGTGGGAGTGGACCTGAGGTGGGAGTGGACCTGAGGTGGGAGTGGACCTGACGTGGGAGTGGACCTGACGTGGGAGTGGACCTGAGGTGGGAGTGGACCTGAGGTGGGAGTGGACCTGACGTGGGAGTGGACCTGAGGTGGGAGTGGACCTGAGGTGGGAGTGGACCTGACGTGGGAGTGGACCTGAGGTGGGAGTGGACCTGTGGTGGGAGTGGACCTGACGTGGGAGTGCACCTGAGGTGGGAGTGGACCTGAGGTGGGAGTGGACCTGAGGTGGGAGTGCACCTGAGGTGGGAGTGGACCTGAGGTGGGAGTGGACCTGAGGTGGGAGTGGACCTGAGGTGGGAGTGGACCTGACGTGGGAGTGGACCTGACGTGGGAGTGGACCTGAGGTGGGAGTGGAGCTGAGGTGGGAGTGGAGCTGAGGTGGGAGTGGACCTGAGGTGGGAGTGGAGCTGAGGTGGGAGTGGACCTGAGGTGGGAGTGGACCTGAGGTGGGAGTGGAGCTGAGGTGGGAGTGGACCTGAGGTGGGAGTGGACCTGACGTGGGAGTGGAGCTGAGGTGGGAGTGGAGCTGAGGTGGGAGTGGACCTGAGGTGGGAGTGGAGCTGAGGTGGGAGTGGAGCTGAGGTGGGAGTGGACCTGAGGTGGGAGTGGACCTGACGTGGGAGTGGACCTGAGGTGGGAGTGGAGCTGAGGTGGGAGTGGACCTGAGGTGGGAGTGGAGCTGAGGTGGGAGTGGACCTGTGGTGGGAGTGGACCTGACGTGGGAGTGGACCTGTGGTGGGAGTGGACCTGACGTGGGAGTGGACCTGACGTGGGAGTGGACCTGAGGTGGGAGTGGACCTGAGGTGGGAGTGGACCTGAGGTGGGAGTGGACCTGACGTGGGAGTGGACCTGAGGTGGGAGTGGACCTGAGGTGGGAGTGGACCTGAGGTGGGAGTGGAGCTGACGTGGGAGTGGACCTGAGGTGGGAGTGGAGCTGACGTGGGAGTGGACCTGAGGTGGGAGTGGACCTGACGTGGGAGTGGACCTGACGTGGGAGTGGACCTGAGGTGGGAGTGGACCTGAGGTGGGAGTGGACCTGAGGTGGGAGTGCACCT